ACATCATGATGACCAGGGTGTGGCAATAGATTGCTGCCGTTTTGTTTATCTCAAGTTAGCTTTAGTTTTCTTCAGGATTCAAAATAATATTCAGTCTTAAAATTGAGGATTAAGAAATGTGAGATGCTATCGATATATTGGTGTTGTATATGTAATTATGTATATTCAGTTTAGAGTACAGTACCAGTAAGAAGTTTGCGTCTTTCATGTAGCAAACAAGCAATGGAAGCCATTCTAATGTATCTGATTAAATGCATTATTATTCATTGTTATTCATAATCTCAGAAATCGTTTAATCTAAAGATTTATGATTGACACGTTTGTTTGGTCTCTGTATAATTCCCTGAGTGATTTTTCATAGTTTTAATATTTCACTATATTCTAAAATGTAAAAAATAGCAGAATAAAATAATAAGGATTGGATCTGTGTGGCTTGCACAGCATCTCTTTTTACGCTATGTGCTCTTAGATGTCCATAATGTGCGCCTTATGCTTGAATTACACGTTATGGTATGTTATGCGACACAAACACAATCAGATTGTTAATTTTAAAGCAGTCAGCCGGAGCTGTGATGTTAAGTGGGGTACACTGCTCTATATCAGATAAAAACAGAGCAGTTCTGAATATCTCTGGGGTTTTCAGCCGTTTGCTTTATAATTATCTCCTGACTCCTCTGATACGCTATTCCAATTAGTGCTATTAGGAGCTGAAATTGCTTGTGTCGCCGTGGTGATTGGCAGTGATTGGCCTTTTAGTTTAATGAATCTTGTAGATTAGCGTGCGCGTGTCCCCGCTGCGAGCGTCCTCAAAATGCATTCATCTCATTACAGACGATGAGACCAAACATATGTGCACTGCCTGAACTGTTTCTGTTGCATTTTGCTGGACCTTCAGCGTTAGCGCCACATTAGCTTCCCTGACTGCTCAGCATTAGCCTGAAGTCTCAGAACCAATCAAGAGTGTCGGACACTGCCTGGAATTAAAAACTCATTATTAGAGCTGCAGGTTCATTAAAGACATATTACTGCATCGTACTGACCCCTACTGCGGCCTAAATTCCTTCTGTTAGGGCAGGAAAACTGAAGGTCCTTGTGGAAGAAAGGTTAGTAAGTTTGGTGATGCCACCTGCAAATATGAAATAAAAAATAACAAACAAAAACAAACAAACAAACAAGCACAGGTGACTTCCCTGCTAGACAAACCAGCACAGAACAGCATGGCTGATCCAGCAAAAGCAGCGTATGTTGTCCTCTGGATGCTGGTATGTTGGTCAACCATCAAGACCAGGCTGGGTGACCAGCATAAACCAGCTTAAATCAGAATTCATGCTGGTCATACCACTGTTTTCAAATTTGGGAATAATATCTTATTTGTTTTCCTCCTTAAGAACTGAGGCACAACAGCCACACTGCAATAAATGGTCTCTTGTCAAGTGAAATGATCTTAAATCTAGCTGATTTTGTTGACTTCTGCTGGCAAGCGTTGGTTTTTTGGAGCGAACCGGAGTGGAGACTTGAGGAAAAGAAGTTAAACACACGTCTTCCCAACCAGCGAGTCTAACTCAGTTTACAAAAACCATTAACTTATAGTCACCCAGGTAAAACCCAACCCTCAGTTGTCTCTTTGTCTCAACGACCCCGGAACCCCCCCCCACGGAATGGACAACTGCCTCTACCTTTGTAATTAAAATTGAGGCCCACCCTAGGAACCAGGATGTCTCCGAGATATCCCATCAGCAAATGGCATTGCTAGATTGGGGAGCTGTAGATAACCAGATGTGAGATAGGCTAACCATTGGAGGTCGTTAAATGACAAAGGGGACTGCTCTCCACAGCCCCCACACATCACCCAAGAGAGAAGTACAAAAAGGCAAACGAGATTAACACAAAAAGGCAAGGAAAAACAGGGAAAAGGTTTAAGAGAAGTTACAATAAAGGATAAAATAAAATAGAGTAAAATAATATTAAACAATGTTTCTAACATTTCAAATTTGAGATGTTTGTGCTCTTATTATAAGATTATTCAGCTCATTTCCAGAATGTTTGACTTATTTTAGGTCATTTACTTAATAAATTTACAATAAATTTACTTAAAACAAGTAAACAATGTCTAGAAATAAGTTAAATAATCTTAAAATAGTTTTACAAAAGTTTACTTCGTATGAAGCTGATTAAATATAATTATATGATTACGTCTGATTAGCTTTGGCTTAAGCTTGCAGTGATGCTACACTGATCAGTGATCTGCACTGTACTTTACATTAACCATGTACGTCTGCAGTCAGACTCTCACACACAATGTGTTTCACATAAACAAGATATCAGATCATAACTGCATTTTCACAGAGTATCAATACCCACAACACTCGCTTCTGTCCTGTTAAAGGATCATTAGATCAGATTTAAAATGAAGACACTGGAATACTTCCACATACATTTTAAACTAAATATATTCTGAAAGTGTATTTAGTTAATATGGCAAAATATTCTGAAATACATTTATAATATATCTTGGAATGGATTGCAGTGTATTTGACATGTATTTCAAATATGCAAAAATGTGTGCTCATGTTTTTTTTCCATATGGGTACTCTCTGCCAATGTCATAACATGAAGGGAAGCCACAAATGAGGAAACCCTTAACAAAGACCGTAGATTATTTTTCATATGACTGGCCATTTCTTGCATTTCTTGTTAACATGAAGCAAAACAGACTGACAGACCGTAAACTACAAAACCCTTCAGACGTGGTCCGAAGTAGCCGATCTTGAAGCTTAAAGCAGTATAAATGTATTTAAACTGCAAGAATGGGGATATGTTAGTATACTGAATTACATATAAGCACATATACTAAGATACTAAGAGAGTCTAAATAATGTAGCGTGTTTAAGTGTCGTCGACATATTAATTCTACACTATTTGTTCTACAGCATTTATTCACCTGGTTATTTTATAGAGACTCTTATTGTGAAGGGCTGTGTTTAGGTGTAGATCATTGGGAACTGAGAATGAGTCTAGCGCTGACAGCTGAGAGAGTAAGGCCTATCGAGGCTAGAAAAAACTACTAACTGGCCACTTTATTGGAAACACCTACCTTGCTCTTCCACTAACTGGCCACTTTATTGGAAACACTGACCTTGTACGTCCACTCACTGGCCATTTTATTAGAAGCACCCACTTTGTGCTTCCACTCACTGGCCACTTTATTAGAAACACCTAGCTTGTGCTTCCACTCACTGGCCACTGTATTAGAAACACCTTCCTTGTGCTTCCACTCACTGGCCACTTTATTAGAAACACCTACGTTGCTCTTCCACTAACTTGCCACTTTATTAGAAACACCCACCTTGTATGTCCTCTCACTGGCCACTTTATTAGAAACAACTACCTTGTGTTTCTACTCACTGGCCACTTTATTAGAAACAATTACCTTCTTCCACTCACTGGCCACTTTATTAGAAACATCTACCTAGCTCTTCCATTAACTCGCCACTTTATTAGAAGCACCTATGTGTGCAATGCATATGATTATGCAAAGTGGCGGCCACATCATCATCGGGTTGTTGTCCATCATCGATGATATCTGATTACATCGCCTTATCGCCTGAGTCTACTACTGACCCCTGCTGGACCCAAACTCCTTTGTGCATCTTTAAGGAGAAGACAGACTGAAGCAGACCGATGACTGACCGAGCGCGTCTGAGCAGTTAAAGGCTTCTCTCGTAGGATCAGTTCATTTGGCACGCTCGCTGTGCACGTGTGACGCCGCTGACAGTCGTAGCAGCTGTAATGGCTGGTTTGATGGGCGGAGGAGCGTGCTCATATTAAAGCGGTGATTGTAATTTATAGGCTTCTGTGACGTGCCTGTCCGCTTTAATTCTGATCTTCTCCGGCCTACAGCAGGTTTAGCCTTGGCGCTACGTTTATTAACTGGGTTTGTATGTGTGTGCGCTGCTCAAACACTGGTTCTGCTTCGGGTTAGGAACCTGATGTTCTTTCTGAGTGCTCTAAATCAGCTGAACAGGCATCATGTCAAGTGGTAGAAGCTATTATAACCTATAGAGAGGACATGCGTCTGAGATATGTTCCCCTTTTGCTGCAGTAACAGCCTCTATTCTTCTGGGAAGGCTTTACAATAGATGTTGGAACATTGCTGTGAGGACTTGATTGAGCATTAGTGAGGTCAGGTACTGATGTTTGATAATCAGTTCTCACTCTAACTCAGTACTCAAAGGTATTGGATCAAGAAGGTGCTGAGACTCCACCATGCCATATTGTAGCATAATAATGTCTGTCAACAGCTGTCCTGCAGTCAGAGGCTGACCAGTGATGAATCAAGTGCAGGGGGCCCAACAGGAGATGGGCTACAATCTGTAGGCAGGTGTTTCTACTAAAGTGGCCAGTTAGCAGAAGAACTAGGTAGGTGTTTCTGATAAAGTGGCCAGTTAGTGGAAACACAAGGTAGGTTTTTCTAATAAAGTGGCCAGTGTGAAACTACAATGTAAGTGTTTCTAATAAAGTGGCCAGTGAGTGGAAGAACTAGGTAGGTTGGCCAGTTACTGGAAGAACTAGGTAGATGTTTCTAATAAAGTGGCCAGTTAGTGGAACAACAAAGTAGGTGTTTCTAATTAAGTGGCCAGTGAGTCGAAGAACTAGACAGGTGTTTATAATAAATTGGCCAGTTATTGGAAGAACTAGGTAGATGTTTCTAATAAAGTGGCCAGTGAATGGAAGTACAAGGTCGGTGTTTCTAATAAAGTGGCCAGTCTGAGGAAGCATGTTAGGCATTTCTAAAAGTGGACGGTCCGTGTTTGATCCAGCTGAAAAGTGAAATGAGGCCACAGCTTATTTTGACAGGACTCCAGATGGTGGAGCATCGACATCTAACCCTCTTTCATTCCTCCTTCCTGTTTACTCTTTCCAATATCACTCTCTCATTCTGTCAGGTATTTTTCACCTCTCTGTCAATAACTCACTGAGTCTGTTTTCTCTCTCTCAGCATGTCTCAGAGGAGTAAAGCATCCTCGAGTCAGAGGTAAGTGCCTGCAGAAGTGACAAACACAGAATTTAACCTTCAAAGGCACAAGTGTTTGTTTCTGGGGCTCAGTGCTTCAGGGTAGAGCCACTGTAGCCCCACCGTCAGATAAACACCCCTCAGAAACAGCTGGAGGCAAGACAGAAAGTCCTTGGAGAAGGTTTTATGTTAAAGGAATTCAAAGATCAATCAAATGTACTATTTAATCTCAACGAGCAAAGACACATTTGGTATCTGAAGTCTGCTTCTTTAGACTTTTGTAGTACTGATGTCCATGCTTACAGAGAACAGCGTCAGAAACCACAATCAAGTCTATTAGAGATTACTGACCAACTCCACATGGTTACTTGTTAGCTACATTAGCCTCGTAGCTCCAGTTCTAGATCTAAAAAAACAAACCTCAGACACCAAGCATTTATATGCTTTTGACTGTGTCTCTGGAAAACACTGATTAAGGTCAGTTGACTAAAACTTTTGCCCTGTTTTTAATTCACCTGTGCACTTCAGACCCATATCCTGCAAATAAAGAAAAACTTTGAATTTTTTTTAACTTTTTGGACTTTTGTTTTGGTGTGTGAGTCATTTATACAGTTATTTCTACAGTATATACTGGTGCAGTATACAGTATACAGCATATACATGTGCAGTATACAGTATATACTGGTGCAGTAAACAGTGTACAGTATATACTGGTGCAGTAAACAGTGTACAGTATATCGCTGTCGTCGGAAACAACCTCATATCTCCAAAATAATAACTTTACAGGAGAAGGAAAAAACTTACTTTACTTTTAATGTAAGTCAATGGAACCAGACTTTCTCCAAGTCATTTTGGGCCATTTCTTAATATTTCATGATGAATGGACCAAAAGAGCAACAGGTATTTTCAAATTATGTCAAAAACTGAAAAACAACAAAAATGGAGATACAAGGTTTTCTTCCGACAACAGTGATATACTGATGCAGTATACAGTGTACAGTATATACTGGTGCAGTATACAGTCTACAGTATATACGGGTGCAGTATACTGTGTACAGTATATACGGGTGCAGTAACAGTGTACAGTATATACGGGTGCAGTAAACAGTGTACAGTATATACGGGTGCAGTAAACAGTCTACAGTATATACGGGTGCAGTATACTGTGTACAGTATATACGGGTGCAGTAACAGTGTACAGTATATACGGGTGCAGTAAACAGTGTACAGTATATACTGGTGCAGTAAACAGTCTACAGTATATACGGGTGCAGTATACTGTGTACAGTATATACGGGTGCAGTAACAGTGTACAGTATATACGGGTGCAGTAAACAGTGTACAGTATATACGGGTGCAGTAAACAGTGTACAGTATATACTGGTGCAGTAAACAGTCTACAGTATACAATATATACAGGTGCAGTATACAGTATATACGGGTGCAGTATACAGTATGTAGTATACAGTATATACTGGTGCAGTAAACAGTGTACAGTATATACTGGTGCAGTAAACAGTCTACAGTATATACTGGTGCAGTATACAGTATACAATATATACAGGTGCAGTATACAGTATATACTGGTGCAGAATACAGTCTACAGTATATACTGGTGCAGTAAACAGTGTACAGTATACACTGGTGTAGTATACAGTATACAATATATACAGGTGCAGTATACAGTATATACTGGTGCAGTATACAGTCTACAGTATATACTGGTGCAGTAAACAGTATGTACTGGTACAGTATACAGTATATACTGGTGCAGTATACAGTATGTACTGGTACAGTATACAGTATATACTGGTGCAGTATACAGTATACAGTATAAACAGTGCAGTTAACAGTGTGTAATTTGGTTAGTTTTGCCATGTTTAACTGTACTGTAGTAAACGGTGTGTTTATCCTCTCTCAGCTCCTCCTCTCGTCCCTCCTCTGCCCACGACGCCCCCCCGCTGCGCTCGGCTCTGAAACACGGCTCTAAAGACTCGAAGGATTCGTCTCAGAAAGGCTCTCACTCGGCCCAGCGCCGCCGGCGCAGCTTCAGCCAGGGCTCTGTCTACTTACCCTACCTCAACGCGCTGTTCGGACAGGTCAGCCACAACACAGACCCCTACACAACAACAATCAATAAAAATGACCATTTTAGCCATTATCAGTAATATTACAATTCTACACAAAAGCTGAATAGATCCCCATTCGTTTTGGAGTCTCCTGTGAGCGCCCTCTAGTGCCACGGTGCTCAAAGCTCTGTTCTAGCTGGAGTCTTTTACCTGGGGAGCTGCTGTAATCTGCGTGATTACTGACGAGGTCTGTGATTTGAATCCAGTGTGAACCTGACATTTTTGCCTATTGTGAAAATGTTACTGTATTTAATTTACTCTGTAAGATTTCCAGCCTTTGTAATAATGCACAGATTAAATTACTGCATAATTATCCATGATTCTACTATACTGTACTAAACGTTCTATACTGTATTGTATACTGTTTACTGTGTTTGTATTATTATGTAGTATGTTTATGTGTATTGTGCTATAACAGAGTTGAATTACATCTTGACGCACCACACACAATTATCACCAACTTGTTGTGTGACAATAAAATTATCAATCAATCAATCAATCAATCAGTTAAGCAGTCACTCATATCCATAGTTTTTACAGGTCTGCTAAAACTGGACTTTACACTCCATGATTTTTAGGCTGATTTTGCTCTTTCCAACCAATTTTAATAGTAACACTTTATTTATATATATATTTACACTTGATCATTCAACTACATATCTATTAAATGTAATTGAACTTGAATTATGAAAGATCCTATTAAATCTGTCCCTACACTGCAGAAAATGGTGTCTTGTTAAGCTAAATTATTTCAAACTGGGGCAAAACACCTAATATTTCTCCTGTTGAGATTGTGGTAAACTTGATTTAAGATTATTTATTTCCAGACATTTTTACTTGTTTTAAGTAATTTTATCAAGTTTAATTATCTCACTATGTTGGCAGATAATTGTGTTTGTTGTAAGAAATTAGCTTAAAACCAGCAAAATTATCTGCCAGTACAGTGAGATAATTTTACTTAATAAAAATGACCTAAACGATTGAAAAGTGTCTAGAAATAAGCTAAATAATCTTATAATAAGTGCACAACCATCTCAAAATGGGAAATATTAGATATATCGACTAGATTTAAGATCATTTCACGTGACAAGACCATTTTTTGCAGTGTAATCCTAAACCTAACTCTCACTTCAAGGCAAAACCTACACCTACTCCTAAACGTAGGCCTAACATTGGTTGATAATCAACTGAGTATCACTAGAAAGTTTATTAATATAATAAGTATAGGGGAACCAAATGGATATGACCATTTTTCACAACCTGAAGCGGTTTTCAAGGTAGGGAGCTTGATCAGAAGTGACTGACAGCGCAGATGGTCTGGTAGTGTGAGAGAAGAAAAGAGTCACTCTTTAACCCTCAGATCGAACTCTGATATTTTAAAATGTTTGATTTTTATGACTCAAAACGTTCACAAGTGCTGTAATGTGAGATGTAAGTGAACAAGTGATTCAGGCAAAAACCAGTGAAAGAGCGACACTCTTAAAAAAGATGGTTCTTCAAGGGTTCTTTAGTAAAAACATTGATTCTCTATAGCACCATGAACACTTAAAGAACCATCTGTATGCTTAAATCGTTCTTCAGATTGATGGAAAATGTGTAATTTATGGTTCTATATAGAAACTTGACAAACGTTCCGGGGCTATGTAGAACCATATACAACACATTCTCCATCAATCTGAAGAACCATTTCACCATGAAATGAACCACTTAAGCAAGCAGGTGCTTCTTTGAGTGTTTGTAATTCTATACAGAACCACTGTCTTTACTAAAGAACCCTTGAAGAAGCATCTTTTATAAAAGTGTAAGTGAGAAAAAGGTGAAGAGGCGTGTGTTCACTCTGCCGTTTGAGCAGCGGGGGGAGGCTGAGGAGCTGCTTGTTGAGTTCAGGCAAATGAGTCTTGAGGTGGTTTACTTACCTCATCTCTTTACTAACATTAACCCACTGCATAGAAAACATGGTTAAAACAGTTACTCATTAAAGTTGGTCCTGACAAAAGAATCTGCTCAGCACTGGCTTACTCGATCAGACCAGCTCATACCACCAACCAAGAGCGTAATGAAAATGAAATGAGTCGCAAACAGAGTTTGGAACCCACACAAGTTTACCACACTCACCAGTTCAAAACTGACAGCTTTAAAGTTTATTTGTTGTTTTGGAGGTGAGTAGAACACAGCATGGGGTAGTGCTGCCCTGTCCTGTAGTACAGCACACAGCTTGTGACATGTACTGGATACTGTACTGTACTGTATATTACTGATGAAGAGCAGTTTGCAGTACACAGTACAGATTGGTTCAGTATATAATGCATAGTATTTACTGGTGCAGTATACAGTACACAGTGTATATACCAGTGCGGTATAGAGCATATCGCTGCTGTTGGAACAAAACTTTATATCTCTATTTTCGTTGTTTTTCAACAGTATATACTGGTGCAGTATACAGTACACAGTATATACTGGTACAGCATACAGTACACAGTCTATGCTGGTACAGTATACAGTAAACAGTATATGCCGGTGCAGTATACAGTACACAGTATATACTGGTACAGTATACAGTACACAGTTTATACTGGTGCAGTATACAGTACACAGTATATACTGGTACAGCATACAGTACACAGTATATACTGGTGCAGTATACAGCACACCATATAGACTGGTTCAGCATATAGTATATGGTATATACTGGTGCAGTGTACAGTACACCATATAGACTGGTTCAGCATATAGTATACAGTATATACTGGTTCAGTATACAGTATACACTATATACTGGTGCAGTAAACAGAACACCATATAGACTGGTTCAGCATATAGTATACAGTATATACTGGTGCAATATACAGTATACACTATATACTGGTGCAGTAAACAGAACACCATATAGACTGGTGCAGTATACAGTATACACTATATACTGGTGCAGTATACAGTATATACTGGTGCAGTAAACAGAACACCATATAGACTGGTTCAGCATATAGTATACAGTATATACTGGTGCAGTATACAGTATACACTATATACTGGTGCAGTATACAGTACACCATATAGACTGGTTCAGCATATAGTATACAGTATATACTGGTGCAGTATACAGTATACTGTTTATAACCTGGACCATGTCATACCAGAACCTTGTCCATTTTGTTTGTAAACAAACAAACAAATAAACAAATGAATGAATAAATAAACATTTAGGTTCACAAACACTGCAAATATTCTATGCAAAAAGCAACTCAGATAAAAACAGGGTAGAATAACTACGGCCTTCACAGAAATTCAGACCATAATAATGTAAAAGCTGCTGATGCCAGAATGAGTCAGCCTGGATTTTTTCGAGTGAGGTGATTTGAGGGTAACTGTCTAATTTTAATGAAACAGTAGAGGCTTTTATTTCGCTCAGGGCCATTTATTATTATTTTATTATGTCTGAATTAACTGAAACATGCAATTACTGAAACAAAAGTGGCTCTCTGTTACATTACCACTGCGCTCAGAACAGGAGGAGTGTGTGTGTGCTGGAGGTGGAAGACGTCTGTATAAGCACTACGTTTGTGTTGACGGTCACCTGTCCTTCAGGATGGAGCATAAGAAGATTATGACAGTATTAATAACCTGAGATGATGAATCACTACCATTCACCTCACAACAACCGCTAACACACTATGCAGGAAATAACGGCATAATGTAATGAGTGAGTGTGTGTGAGTTTGAGTGTGTGTGTGTTTGTGTGTGGGAGGAAAAGCTTTGATTGTATTATGTAACATCATTATTTTATATGAACCAACATGTTTTTTCCACATGGATTACTAGATTAAAAGCACTCAACAACATAATATAATCAGAGTCAGAATCAGTGTTATTGGCCAACTGTGCTTGCAAACACAAGGAGTCTGTCTCTGGGTTATGGTGCTCATAAACAGTGCAACTGCCATGACACACATAGTAACAAGACAATAGACATGACTGCAACTAACACACTGCGTAAATGCAACTACAACAAAGACCAGATGCACGGCTTAAGTATTGCAAAACATTACATAATATTACACAATATTACACAACTATTATTGAATATTTTTATTTGTGTGACTCTTGCACAATAATGTATTTGTGTGGATAACAGAGACAGAGTTGACTTGAGTCCAACTCGAGTCTCTGCAAGTCTGAGTTGAGTCTCTGAGGTGCAAGTCCGAGTCGAATCTATAGTCTCTGAGATGCTAGTCCAAATTGAGTATACAGTCTCTAAGGTGCGGGTCTAGAATCTCTGAGTCCAAGTCGAGTCTCTGAGGTATGAGTCTGATTCGAGTCTAGATTCTCTGAGGTGTGAGTTCAAGTTGAGTCTCTGAGGTGCGAGTCTGAGTCGAGTCTAGAGTCTCTGAGGTGAGAATCCAAATCTGTAAGGCGAACATGTGAGTCGAGTCTAGAGTCTCTGGGGTGCGAATCTGAGTTGAGTCTCTGAGTTGCAAGTCCGAGTCGAGTCTAGAGTCTCTGAGATGCTAGTCCAAATTGAGTATACAGTCTCTAAGGTGCGGGTCTAGAATCTCTGAGTCCAAGTCGAGTCTCTGAGGTACGAGTCTGATTCGAGTCTAGATTCTCTGAGGTGTGAGTTCAAGTTGAGTCTCTGAGGTGCGAGTCTGAGTCGAGTCTAGAGTCTCTGAGGTGAGAATCCAAATCTGTAAGGCGAACATGTGAGTCGAGTCTAGAGTCTCTGGGGTGCGAATCTGAGTTGAGTCTCTGAGTTGCAAGTCCGAGTCGAGTCTAGAGTCTCTGAGGTACAAGTCTGAGTCAAGTCTAGAATCTCTGAGGTGCAAGTTCGAGTCGAGTCTAGAGTCAGTGTGAGTCTCCATTGAGTATAGAGTCTCTGAGGTGAGAGTGTGAGTTGAGTCTAGAGTCTCAAGGTGCGAGTACCAGTTGAGTCTAGAGTCTCTGGGGAGTCTCTAGAGTCTCTCGTCCGAGTTGAG